GTATGGATGGGGAATCTTAATTAAATGAAGGCAGATTTGCTTTGAAGGATATGCTCGTGAGTGGGCTAACCGCAGGTGTCCTTAATATATTTTGAAAGCTACTTCGGTTATTTTGACTCATATTATTTTGACTAATAAAAATCTAATACTTATTACCACTTTCCACCGTTTTTTAAACAAGTGCTCACTGGCAAAAATCAAACGTTCAAATACTTAGTTCCTGGTAGCATCGTTACGTTTACACTGCGGATCTAGCGAAGAAGCAGTGTCCCGATAACTTTTTGATCATAGCTTATCTTCTTGATATACGCTAGGCGACTAATGGAAGTCTACACCTGGTTCTAATATATCTAATATTTACAATTATTTTAATGAAAAATTGTTTGCATTAATTATTTATGAACATATAGTTCATTCTATAATTAAACCATATAAATAAAAGTTTCACACTTGATATAAAGTTCACCAAAATTCCATCAAAAATTTCAACTTTTTATTGAGAATTTCTATAAAATTTCCGACTATGCAGTTTTTAGTTTTGTAGCCCCTTCAATTTTAGTCTAATGCAGTGCAAGTTTCAACTGGCTAAAAAATCGCATTGCTTTTTGAGACTTCTTTTGCGCCTAGTGTTTACGTAAATTTCGTGCATTCTGGATAAAGCTAGAATACATGTAATATACGTGCAAATGCCTCATCAGCTCCTCCAGTTGTCTTCGCAGGCACGGAACCACTTTTATGCTTACTGAGCTGGTGAGTTCAGAACGCTGTAGGTACTGGAGAGCGGAAACATAGCTTAGACTGGTCGGACTCTTTCTTTACCCATAAATAGAGTGGGCATAAGCTTACTCACGGTCATAATTTGCAGCGTTCGGATATGGTAGGTCCACAGGGCTTGCTATGTCTTTGTGTGTGATTGTCTGTCTTTGGCCAGGCAAAAACTTATTCTTCCTGTTTGGCTCTTTCAGCGCCTAAGCGATCTTGGCCTGAATTTAACCTTTTCTTAGAATTCGTTTTCACATGGCGGGTCGCAAACCAGATCCTCACAAAAGTCGGTGGAGTGCAATAACGCCCATGGGCTTTATTTCCTTAAAAAAAAAACAGAAAGAAATCCCGCGGGCACTCAACAGAGGCGGTCGCCGTCCGCGTTTGCGCGCCACCACTGGAAATCCTCACTAGCTGAGAACAAATATGCGCATCGCATTGAAGGCTAAAAAAACAATAACAGTTTACCTTTAATTTCCAATTATTCGCTTATCAGTTATTGACCAAAATACCGGTAGATTTTATGCGTATACTGCAGAAGGAAATTCAACGCAGATCTACACTGCATGCAAAAATACATTCCATTTTATGCAAATGTATGTCTGCATACATATTTGTATTAGTTCAGTAAAATAAAGCCAGAGAAAATACTACTCACTGGCCTTATTTCCTTTTTTATGAAATAAATCAAGCGGGCGTTATTTCCTTTCCTTTGGGATATAAATAAAGCCCGCGGTTATTATTGCTCTTTCGCTTTTTCCCCTTCGAAATGGTAATAACGCCCGCGGGCTTTATTTCTTTTTTTTTAGGAAATAAAGCCCATGGACGTTATTTCCGCGGGCGTTATTGCACTCCACCACAAAAGTCGAATACATTTCAGTTCACCCACAAATGAATTTCTTAAAATTAGGAATTCATCTACCAATCTTCGTCTTTCTTTTTATTGGGGATGCTGAAAGTTTCCTGGAACATCAAGGTTAGAGACACGTCGTAGGTATATCAAAGATCTTATAGGTCGCAGTGTCCCTACTGGTGAAATGAATAACTACTTCACAGTGAGTTGAATCCCCTTAAAAAGTCTTCAGATGGTGGTCTTGGCACGCGTCTACAGTCTGTACCTAGTAGTTATTTTTTCCTTGAATTTTTCGTCCGAAGGCCTCAGATGCACTGGCCCAACATTAGATATTAATTTATTTGAAAATTTTTTAAATCAGATACTCTTAAGAGGCGTTTGTTTGCGGAACAGAATATTTTATAAGTTTGTATTCTACAATCTAAAAACGGATGTTACGAATGTTTGGTATATTCACGCATTAAATGTGCTTATATATATATATATATATATATATATATACGATATATAGTAGTTTAATACTAATATTATGCAAAAGTGCATATTTAATCCAAACAAGTAAATTAAAAGAATTTCAAATATTTCCTTTGAGGTATTTTTCATAACTTTACACATGTATTTATTTACTCGCATAGATACCATAGGCGTAATTATTTATTTCCTGTTGCATTGAAATATTTCATAACTCATTATTTATTCGGAATCTATAATAAGAAAAAAACTCGTATTTTACAACGCGCTCTTGGCGTACTAACTCTAATCTTGCGCTGCTTTTCCGCACTTTGCTGTATAGCTCTGCATATAGAAAATTAATAGTTCAAAATTTTCATTTTCCCTTTTCCAATCGCTTTAGTTTTCCTCTACAGTCAGTTTGTCAGTACTTCAGCTCATAAGGATGCCCATTTCTAGCCGTAATGGCTGTTCATAATTATATATCGGCTGTGAAGATCTTTGCCTTTATTTTTATTTTTTTGTTTTTTTTTTGTGAAAAATCAAAAACGGATGCGCACTAGCACATTATAACTACACACGGAGGGTGGTTTAAGATAACCATATGAGTGAAAAAAATTCAGAACCTTATAAAAAGCAGTGCTTTTATGTAAAGGAAATCAGTACTAAATTGTATTTACAAAATTATTTACAGTTAATTTATTATTTTTTTTTTAATTCTAACTCTATTTTTTATTTACAATGTGAAATACTTCAAGTACTAACTCTCGTTTATATTAATTTCGCGCGCTTCCTTTTTCTGGTCACCTTCCGCTTAAGTCAGCCAGCGCTACATGAATACATACTAACAAAATTATGCCGTGCATGATCGCCTTCAACACCACATTACTGCGCATGCGCAGCAGCAACAACAGCAGGAAAAGGCACCAACACCGCCGCCACTTTTAGTTTATTCGTATCCTTGAACGCGTGCGCACCTGGAAACTCGGAAACTGAAATGTTGGCTTGCACTTGAAATACAAGAAAATAAATTAAATAGAACGCAGAAAATTCTATTTGCACTTTGTGATTCATATGATGTACTTTATTTAAACCGGTGATTTTTTATACCTACAAATACTAAAACAAAATGATCATTTGCATTTCGGGTTTTATAATTGGTGAAAGGTACGGCAAAAAAAAATATTTTCTGAAAAAGATTTTATTTTAAATTTTAAAGTTCGCATTAATATTGCACTTTGTTGTGTGCTAAATATTTCACATTTGGCAAGTGTTTTGCATTACAGGCGTATATATGTACAATTTTTTATTGATAAAAATAAGAATAAAAAATTTGAACGAAAAAATCAATTGCAATTGACAGCATTGAATCGCTGGTGTGTTGCGAATTCGAACAACAAGCCTTAACAGTGAAAATAAATGAACAAAGGATAGCCTATATTTTTGGACAATAAAATAAATGTAAAGGCGTGTCTGAAAATTAAAATAAAATAAAATAATTAAAATGAGCATTAATTTTGCAATAATTGCTAGTGCATTTTAAAAATAAAATAATAACGAAAAACGATCAGGTTATTTAAATTTGAAAAAAGATACACCAGACGTCGTTAAATTTCTTGTGAAAGCTTCAAATTTAGCTTTGTTCTCCTTATGAATAATACTATGTTTGCACTAATTTATGTATAATAATCGATTTTGATTTGAGCTCATGTGATGCTTTCAGAGTTAAGATCGCATTCACTATTCGAATTTTCAAAGGCCAAAGCTACGCAGTAAATCGAGTTGGACCTTATCTGGTCGTTGGGTTTAAGCATTTTTTGTTCGTTTCTCTGATTTTGAATTGAGAAATATTTATGTGGTTTGAGAACAAGTTTTTGAAAATTTTCACCAATGATAAATAAATATTTGTTGATTGTTGACAAGGGACGGCGGAGGTTCGTTCGAAAATAAATCAACTTACATAATTACTTGGTCTGTGTGAACGTGGTATAAGAGTTAAAATGCTTATTAATGTTAATGAGTGTGAAGGTGAATAGTTAAATAAATAAACAAAGTAGGCTTGTATGTAAATATGAAAAAAAAAAAACGTTTTTGAAACAAGGAACACAAACGTATAAAAAAATTTAAACTATTAATACTTTCAGAACCAAGGGAGACAAAGAACTCATACAAAAAACTTTGTTAAATTTAGGGAACTTTTTTTATTTTTCCATGATTTTTCCAATATAAAAACCTCATATAAATAAAATAAAAAAACTCAACAAAAATTTAATTAAACAATTAAAAAAAATAATGTTACATCAAAATATATGACATGTATCTATCCCACTAAAATATTCGAAGTGTGCATAAAAGTGATAATAAATATTTTAAATCTTTCTGGTTTTTTTTAATCTACATACATATCTCTTAAAAAATTTGCAGCAATTTAAAAAATAATCTAAATCGAAATGCATATGAATTTATTAAAATTTTTTCACATTTGGTCTTGTAAGAGATACATGAAAAATTATTCCACTAAAATTCTCTCAGTGTTGCCTAAAATTTAAAGGACAAATATTAATTATTGTTTTTGTTTTAATTTTTTCTCTAAAGAAATTGTAAGCCCAATTTCAAAAAAAGAAATAAAAATTAAAAAACAAAAATGTAAATCTAAACATACATATGTGTATGTATACATGTTTATTCAGCCCTTAATAAACCACAATCTACAATTATAACGTAACTTGTTATGTATACATACTTACGTACATAAGTTGGCCAATGATCGCGTAAAGGTTAAATGAAACTAACTCTTCTAAAATTATTTTGCTATGTCTCTCACATTTAAAAGACGGCATAATTTTTTAACACATTTCTTAATAAATTTTTCGTTGTATAATGTTGAGCAAACATTTTTTAATAAATTTCAATTCAATTATCTTTGTTTTTACAGTTTCCCACAAAAATCCATCGAGCGTAGCGGTTCGACCCAATATGATATTGCTGCACCGCCTGGCTCCACAACATCCGGTTCCACAATGTCAACGGATTGTGGTGGCTACGTTTACCTGCAGCAACACTATATACCCTCGAGCTCTTCCAGTGCTGCTATAAATTATCCCGTCATGCCACAATCTCACATGATTTACCAGCAACATCATCCACAACAGTATGCAACCTCGTGCCATCAACAACAAATCGCACATCAACCAGCAACAGCGGGAACTGGTGAGTTAGACGAAAATAATGTAATAATGACATACATGCATACATACATACATACATATCAGCAGCCATAAGCGATGAAAATGGCAAAAAAAAAAGCCATAATAAAACAAATTTTTATCAGCTATTGTATGAATTTAATATACGATCTGCTCTATGTCCATCTAGTATCTGTCTCTCTAGCTTGGCTTACCAAGCACACGCAAAATGGCTTCAATAGTAACATTTGCATACAACACACAACTACTCGAACATACATACATATGTACTTACATTTGCAAGGCTATTCATTCATTTACTCTTTCATACGACTACTGATTGTCCTAACTTAATTATCTCTTAATTTTCCTTTATATAATTACCTGGTGTTTTTTTGTTTTTGTTATTTTTTCGTTCGTATTTTCCCACAGGTGGTATACATCATGGCCAACATGTGAGTTTACATCATCAGCATCACCATCATCATCTACTGCATGGCCATCATCATCATCATGGTGGTGCCGTTGTGATTGCAGGCAGTGGTGTTGGCACTGGCATGGGCGGCAGCGGCATCGCTGGCGGCGGTCCAGGTAGCACTTCACCATCGGCAATGCAGCAAAATATGCACAAGAAAAACTCTATACGAAATGGCAGCGATGTGATGAAGCGCGCACGTGCACAGACAGCGTAAGTTCTTTTTTGCTTATTTTTTGAAAAGAAATCGATAAATAATTTCTAAGATAATGGCAAATTTGATTATAGGAATGTAGATTAGCACTTGTGAGCATTTGTCAGCACACAAAGTCCACAAAAAGAACTGATAAGAAGTTGTTAGGTTTTGATGAGGGGAAAAACAATAATTTATTTTAATTGTCCGTGACTGATAGAAAGAGTCACATGATATTAATTAAAAAACGTTACAATGAGCTGCAAATATGTAAACACATATCAACAGCAACGGAAAATGAAATATTCTATGGCTGCTAACCATCCATTTATTGATTGTCCTCAGCAAAATAGTAGCTTGACCGTATCCATATTTTTTGTGTTTACATACATACATTATTTCTTATTGTTTTACGGATTTTTATTTCTTTATTTTATCCGAAATATATTGAAAAGTCGGAATAATTTCATAATAAATTCACAACTCATAGAAATTCCGAAAAATACCCGACGGGTTCCATTAAAATTCGAAAAATCGAATCCCTAAAAGTTTTATTATATTTCGGAAATCTTAGAAAAATATTCAATGCATGCACAAATATCGAAAAATTCCAAAATACTCCTAAAAAGTATAAACAATAATCCCGAAAAATTACGAAAAAATTCTGAAGTTCTGAAGACTCCTAATGTATCCTAGAAAATTCCAGAAAAATATTCTGAAAAGTTCCACGATAGGTCCGACAGATTTTTGGAAACATGTCTTCTTAGGTTTGAATAAACGCCTTAAAATCCTGAAAAAACTTTAAAAATAACTTGGTTACAGTCACGAGAAAATCTCTTATAGTTCTCAAGAATTCCGAATAACAACGAAAACTACTTAAGTTTTCAAAATTATGCAAAGCTCCTGAAACATTCTGAAAAGTTTCAAAAAAATCTGATATTTTTCTTAAAATTCCTAGAACGATAGTGAAAACCTTCCGAAAAAAGATCGGCATAGCCTGAAATTTCATAAATGTCAAAAAATTCTGAAAAGGCTCAACAGATGCCGTAAAAATACTTAAAAAAATGTAAAAATTTCGAATAATCCTGAAGTAATCCTTAAAAGCCCTTAAATATACCGAAAAGTTTGGTAAAATCCCAAAACACACTTCTTAAAGATCTCGAAAAAGTCACGCAAATCTTCTGAAAAGACTCAACATAACCCGATAGGCTCATAAGATCTCGAAAACATTGTGAGAAATGCCGAAAAACCCTCGAGAAGTTCGGGGAAACCTCGATAATCTTAAAGAAAATCGGAGATATTTCAAAATAATCTCGCGAAAAGTAAAAAGTCAAATGTACAAAAAATATACACATATACATTAGACTGTCCCAAAAAAAAAAAAAAACAAAGTTGTTATTTTTTAATGCATACTACCGCATTTAATTGATTTTGTCTTAAAAACTGTCCGAATAAAATTTTATGCAATTCGGACCACGGCAACCCGTGC